CCTCCCGCTGGCCCACTCGCGGTTGCTCCCTCCGCGGCTCAGCAAACCCCGCGGCCCAAGCCAACCCAGGTCTGTGCCACGCCGCGCCTGTGTGTCCTCTCTCCGCCCCGCTGACGCGCCGGGCCCACCTACCAGGCACTTCTTCTTCACCGCGGCATCACCGACGCGGACTCCACCACCACCGGCGTGTCCGCCCCGCCCACGTCTACCTCTGCTTGCCGTGCCTCCCAAGGATCCGGGGCCTTAAATACTTGATGCCCATGCTCACCGCCTCCCTATCCCACTCCAACCGCATCGCCCGAGCATCCACAACCGCGCCGCCGCCCGCCATCGCCCAGCCAAGCACAGCGCTGCCTCCTCTTGCTCTGCACCGCCAAAATCCCCCTGGGTGAGTTCGCCCTCCTTTCCTCTCTCTCCTGATGTCCTCGCCTTGTGTTTTTGTGGACTGTAGACCGGAAACCGTGAACGCCGCCGAGCTTCTCAACGCCGGCCATGGCGTCGCCGCATATGAGCTCATCGCCGGCCACGCCTCCCCCTCCCAATTCAATTCCGTCCATCTGATTCAAGATCAAGAGCCAGGATTAGATCGTACCCCTTCGCTGGCGTTTTTGCAAAAAGGCCATTACAACTAATTGAGTCTCAACCCGTAGTCCCTGGTTTTTTTTAAAAAAAGAGCCCTCCAGTTTTCTGTTTTTAAACCCGCGGTCCAAAGTGTATTTTCAGGATACGTTTTCTTCTTTGGAAAGCGTAGTTTCTTCGGTTTAAATTCAAAATACGTTTTCACTTACTTACAGATTTGCCACTAATTTTGTTTTAGCCACAACTTCTCCGTTTTAACTCCGATTTGATCCGTTCAACTTGCGTTAGGTTCATAATTTCATAATCTACATGTTCATACTACTGTTAAGCATGTTTTCGACTTTTAAAATTCGAGGTTAGATTTAATCTATTATTTTATTAAAGGAAATCTTGTTTAAATCATATCTTCTATGTTTTAACTCTGTTTTAGCTCATTCAAGTTGCGTTAGATTCATAGCGACGAGATCTACACGTTAGTAACAGTGGTTACCATGTCACTATTTCTAGAATTTGATGGTTTAAACTCTAAATTGAATAATAATTATGCAATTGGGTTTTATAAATAAAATATGATTTGTTTTACTTTAGTATTATAATTCAAACTTAAACTTGACTTAATTTATATTATCTATAAAATATCTTATATATGTTTTTATATAATTAAAACACATGAAGTTAATAGTTTTATGAGTAGATCTCTCAGTAGTTGTATCTTTTCAATCGTAGCTCCGATTAGTGTACTTTTCGCGTTTGTGTGTTCGTAGCGAGACGTAGATTCATTTTACAAACTTTTTATCTTGATTTTATGTTTGGTGTACTGTTCTAATTTAGATCTATTGTTTGCTTCGTGTATGATTGCATGGATGATTGTGTGGTGCTTTATGATTACGTTCAGTTGGTGAGATATACGTGGTGATCAAAAAGAAGAAGAAGAAGAACGTTGATGATTAAAGCTTACCAAAGGATCGGTGTTTTAAGGAAAGTATAGCATAGGATCTTTCTTGTTGTCCTATACACCTTTAATCATTTAATTCATGTTGCATGTGTCTAACTTGACTAGCACTAAGGATTTCCTAGTACTTTGTACCTTGTGCCTTAATACCTATGGAGTATTGCATTAGGTAGTACGATGCTAGTGCTCAACCAAAACCATGATCTTGTAACTTGACTAATGGTATATCCAATAAACACTAAAAGATGCTTTTTAGCAACATGGAACAAGGGGCTAGAGCAGTGGGCTATTTTTATGGTGCTCTAGATTCCTCTCCTTAAGGACTTATCTGTAAGTGATCATCCGGGACTTACAGTACAGCCATGAGGACTACATGGCTCTGATCTTAGTCTAGTACCTTACTCTTTCTAGTTTGTAGCAGTTTACCGAAAGGGCAAGAGGGGCATACCAGGCTGGGTATGGGCCTCATCCCCAGGGTGTGTACTATGCTGCATGTATAAGTGCCACTTCTGGAGATGACTCCATAACACTTGGGAGATAGAATCCTTAGCGGTTGCTCCTTATTAGAACGACTGGGGAAAAGCTTCATAGTGTACCCTGCCTGCTCACCTTGGAAGTGTTTTGGGAGTTGCAAACTCGGGCATATGGGTATCACGACTCGTGGTGAAAGTGTACAACCTCTGCAGAGTGTAAAACTGATATATATCAATCGTGCTCACGGTCACAAGCGGCCTTGGAACCCTTACAGAATAGATGATGAACACTAATGATATGGATGATGAAGATGCTCACTAATGGTTAATTGTTTATGCTATTCATTATTTATGTTTACCTGATCATGTGTTTATGAGTTTGTGATAAACTTGTTGTCACCCAATTGCTAAAAGATGACTCATTAAAAGGTAATCGTAGTTAAACCAGTGTCAGCCTTTTGAGCCTCATGAACTTCATGTTATATTTGTTGAGTACGACATATACTTACACTTGCTTTATATTTTTCAATTATTTGGAAAAATCCTGGATGGATACCAGATTGCTAGAGTTTTGAGGAATTAGGCTTGTGATCAACCAGTCAGTGGAAGTGGAGTCTTCACCTGAAGATCGGAGTTGTCTTTGTGTTGTCTATACTCTGAGGTTGTATTTTTTATACTAATACGCTATGTAATAAGCATTGTCTTATGATATTACCCTTGTTTGTAGCTATATGTGAGATTTGACTTCCTGGACTCACATATAGTGTGTATCTAGTTTTGTTCTTAAAACCGGGTGCTACATGGGTGGTGAGTGAGGTGGTGGAATGTCGAGAAATAGGTGGCAGGAGATATCTTGTTGGACGTAGTTGACGGCGGGAGCGAGAAGTTGCTGGTGAGGTGCCTGATGGAGATTAGGGAAGTGCAAAGAAGATCAAATCAAGCAGAATTTTACACTCACGTCTAGTGGTCTGGTGTTGATGGCTACTACGTGCTGGTTTTCCCCACTACGTTTACTGTTTTCTTTGGGTTTTTTAAAAGATGGAACTTGCTTTGTACGAGAGTGACAACTGTCTTAAATCTAACTCACCACTCATTTACGAAATGTTGAAATCACCGTGAACTTCACAACGCGTCAGATATTTCGTCCTTGCCCCTTGATGGCGCCATGCATGGTGGCACATTGCAAGTACAACTGTTTCTTTTTTTCCATGGAAAAAGGGCAAATGCACGGATGATTAGTTTCATATATGTGCCAATGAAAATCCACCTAAATATCAAAATTCAGAAGATTACATCATGATAGTGATAAGTTGCATTTTCAAACTGACCAGATCAAACAAGTATGGTCAGATTCATACCGAACATAGTTAAAGTGGGCGGTACAATTTGAAATTAAAAAGACAAGTTTTGCATAACAAAGTGTAAATACAAATACAACGCCATTTAAAACGGCAAGATAGATAAGAGAAAAAACTAGGAGAACACACCAAGATCACCACCTCCGCTGCCTTATTTATTGTTTTGTTTATAAAAGAAAAAAAATCTGGTGGTCAGCGCCATGAGTCGGTATAGGCTTTGGCAACCAGCGTCCATGAAATGCATCCCAGCGGACATACCATGGCATATCTATCCATTATGTTTCTTGTAAGTAGCAAATAGAAAATGGTATGTCTCTAGGGCAGGTGCCTGAAATTTTGCAAACCCATCAGTCGTCTTCTACATCTAGCTCCGCCAGCCCTCTTGATTGTCTTCCTCCTTGATCGTCTTCCTCCCCGCGCCCCTCCGCCCCCGTCCCCTCCTCCTCGTCCTCGTGGCCCACCCCCGCCTGCCTCACCAGCGGCCGAGCTCTCCTCCTCCTCCTCCCTCACCCCCGCCACTACCCACCACCCCGTCACATCATGCTAGGGTTTCGCCAGAGCTCTGGCAAAACCCTAGCGCACCCGGGGCGGCCGCCTTCTTCCCCTCCCCCTCCTTCTACAGCGAGCTCCGGCCATGGAGAGCTCCCCTGCTTCGACCTGGCCCAACCGCCTCCACCATCGCCAGACCCCTAAACCGCCATGTGGTCGTCCCGAAGGCCTGGTCGGCCTTCCTCCCCCGAACCCCCTCTATGCCCGCCGGAGATGGAGAAAAAGAGAGGGATAGTCAAAGAGAGAGGACGCTGAACTTACCCGACGACGGCGAGTTCATCATCTTCGACGCCGGTGAGGTCTCGCCAGAACCCTAGCCGTGGGCGTGGGCACTGGTCGAGCGCAATCGGGCACAGGTGACTAACGCGAATGCAAAACTTTAGTCGCATGCAGAGGAGTATTTTTGAATAGAAAAGGAATATTATGAATGATGAGTGTGAACACTACGTACGCTTGCATCAAATGGGCGGCTGAATGTCAGCAGACAACAAAATAATGCTGATTTTTCTTTCCTTGATTGAGTAACGCATGCATATGGTGACACGGTCCAAATAAAAACTCCAAACACCTCGTCATCATCTACCCCACCCTATAATATACCCATTAGAATAAATCTACAGCCACATAATAAATGCCTGCTCCATAGTCACGACCTATGCTACATCCACACCCATGAATACATCCAGAAAATATAACACCATCAAAACGGATGCACCAGATTATCTCTTAGCCATTCTCTCTCATTACTCGTCCAAATCCGACGGCTCATGTTTAGTGTGTCTGCCCTCTATCGCCCTCCTGCGGACCTCCTCATCGCTCGCATGTCCTCCCACGCCGCGCCCAGACCCACACGCCCGCTCCCGCGCAGCCACAGTTCAATCCCCTCCCCCTCATTTTCACCGATTGCTTTTTTTTCAGAAAAAAATCTACCTTGCGCCACCCCTACCTCCAACCCTCCCCGTCCCGATCCGCGTCGTCACTCCGTCAGGATCCACGGCCGCCGCCCCGAACCAGCCCCCGACCTCGCCCTCCCCATCCCCCCCGACGAACACTCTACAGTCGCCACCGCTCCTTCCTAATCCACGTGCGATGCCTGCCGCAGCCTGGGGCGCGCCTCCTGCTGGCACTAGTCTTGTCCGGGCACTGCTCCACTGCCTGGACGCGCACCACCGCGGGCTGAAGCACCGCCGGAAAAAGCACGAGATCCCCTTCCCCGATCAAGACGGTGGTGATGGAAATCCACCGCAAGCCTACGCGCGCGCTCGGACATGTCCGCTCACGTCTACTCTGCGTCGACGCCGCCGGTCTCCGACACTATCGCCCGACTACATCATCGGCCAGGTACGCCAATCCTCCAATCGCATTAGTTTCAGTAGAGACGATGAGTACCAGTAGAGACGATGAGAGAGAGACCGTATCTGCTAGATCCCATCATATGGAGGACATTATAGATCCGCGCAGCTACGATCAGCTGGAGCAGCAAGCACTGTTCGCGCGCTGGTTGGGCAGCTCACTCCGCCGCTCTACCGCTCTGTGCCTGAGCAGCAAGCATCGCACACGATGACGGGGATCTGCTGCTTGTGCTGCTATGCCATCCACCGTGATAGAGAGGGAGAGCAGGAAGTAGATAGCAGAGAAAATAGAGTACGACTGCTTGCTGCTTGTGCCGCTAGGCAGGTATTAAACGTGACAAACATAGAATTCAGACAAGTAGCTAAAAGCACATGGCAAATGATTTTTTAACCTTTTCGTGAGAGCATATAGGGTCAAAGAGAGAGTGAGAGCATTTATGTAATAAATGTTTTTACGGTTTGTGTAACTGAACATCGTATATTGAAATTGATTTTGCAATAATAAATTGATTTGGCTTGTTTAATTCAGCAACTCTTATTGAATTGGTTTGCAATGTACTTTGCAGTGTAGGAAGATGGAAATGCCCAGCTTCAATGATGTTTTTGGGAGCAATGTGGACAGCGCTGAGGTTGATTTTGATGTGTCTTATTTTGGTATCTCACCTCAAGGATAAAATGTTGTTGAACAAGTCTACGAAAGGAAGCAAGAAGAGATCAAAAGATTTCAGTGTAAAAGAGGATAACATGTTGGTGTTACCATGGCTAGAGGTGGGAATGTAGACATTAGAAGTATATTTGTTAGTTATAAGACACTGTATGCATTAAATAGAGGTGGGAGAAAGTAGGGAGGCAAATACGAGGGATCTGGTGGAGTTCACAACAAAGTAAGGGGTGGAATCTGGATGAGAGAGCCCTACTTTGAAAGATAGGCGGTCAAAATTTGAGCTGAGAGTTCGGTTGGAGATGCTCTAAGGTGTCTGGCTTGTGGGGAAAGGTATGTGGCTTGTGACGATCTTAATTTTCTTGTCTCATCACACATTTACTATTTTCACTTAAGTGTTATGTGAAGATTTATTATCTGAATGTTAGTTGAAGCATGACCTCTCTGTGCATTCAGTTCAAAAAGTATTTCTTGCTCATTTGACCTCAATTGTTTTGGTAGCAAGGACATGAGGAGGAGCGGCATGCAGCCAGCTTACCGGAACATGAAGAATTCACAAAGGTGAGAAATATCACGAAGATCGAACTGGGGAGATATAAGACAGATACATGGTATTTCTTTTTCATTGCAGGCTTTAATTCTTGATGATACTTGCAGGGATGCCACCGGGGCTCTCTGAGCAGCAACACAACCCTTGAGATGTACTTCATCGTTCTCAAATTGAAGACTATATATTTGGACTTATGCTTGCCTGCATATTTCAATCTATGTTTGCCTGTATTACTCTTTTGCTATAATTTTAGTGACAATTTTAGTTTGTTTTTGGTTGATGTTAATTCTCTATCTTTGTTGTCATGCAAAGACCTGTGTATTTATCCACTATATTTTGATATCATTGTTGTCATGCAAGTAATCTTTATTTGGTATGTCAGGTTGTCATCAGAATCATGTTTTTTATTATAATATTATAATATATGATCGATGATTTTTCAAAAATCATCAAAGCATATGTTGTTTAATTTGTGTTGTCTTAAATATCACTATAGCGTTAGCACGGGCAATATACTAATTAGAAAAAAAAAAGAACAGAAGAGGAAAAAAAACCTCTAGTAAGTACGTACAAAGTAAATTTGGAGGGCCTTCTTCCACAAACTGTATCTTGAAGGTGAGCTGATTGAAAAATTGCATAGACTAGAATATAATCCTCTCTGAGCTCTTGCATAGCCTACAATAACACCACAGCACCATGAAAAAAAAAAGCAAAAACAAGGACAAGAACACCAATTTCAGCATGTACAAATACAGCTGCAATCCCCCTCCCCCGGGTCGCAGCAGAGTGACAGACTCTGTTTCACCCGGAAGTGAACACAAACACAACAAAGCTTTGCCATGTCCGTTTCCAATCGGCGTGATCGATCCTCCACGACCTAGTAGCTAGTAGGCGCGGGCGTGGGCGGCGGCGAGCCTGGGCGACGCCGGGAGCGGGCTGCGCATGGGCGACCTGGGCGGCGGCGGCTGCGCGAGGCGGCGGCCCTCGGCGTCGTAGTAGATGGCCCCGGAGAAGTCGAGCGGCTGGCAGCGCTCCCCCATGAGGATCTCCTTCCTCCACACCCCGGGCTCGGCGGCCTCCTTGGTCGTGCTAGACGACGGCGCCAGCGAGGAGGTCTTCTTCCACGGCACCACGACGGCCTGGGCTCGCGGCGAGCCCTTATTACCACCCCCACCGGCACCGGCGGCCATCCTCCGCGCCGCCCGCTGCAGCCTGGTCAGGAGCGAAGCCACCGCATGCAGGAGCGTCGCGCCCATCCTTTCTTGATCTCCTCTCTTGTGTTGTGGAACTGGAACTGGAAGGAAAGTGGCTCTGGTGGCTTGAGGAGGCAGGCGTTTGGTTTGGCGGCCATATATAGCCGAGCCGGCGGTGGGGGTGGACAGGTCAAGGAAGCAGCTGGGAAACGAAACGATACTAGTTCGCAAGTGCAAGCGAATGAACCATGCAACATGTCAACGGAGGGACGGGGCGTGTGTGACGACTGTCCGGAAGAGTGACTAGTCGGCTGGATGGATCCTCGGCGGCGAAGAAAACACTGGCAACAAATGCATCGGAGGTTTGACAAAAATGATCCGTCGCTTCGCTAGACGAAAAGCCTTTGATACTACTCCTATGTCTTAGGCGCAGCGCAGTTGCGGCGGAGGGTGACCCTGACCTTCAGCGAGATCGATTGCGCGTAGTGAACGTGTACCAGAAAACGGATGCCCTTATCTTAAAAAAAAAAAGAAGAAGAAAGAAAGAAAACGGATGCCCTGCATTATTTTTTCCTCTCGTCTCTGTCAGCGTCACTTACGTCAGCCTCCAGCTGACGCATAAATTTGGCTCTTTCCACGAGCAAGAAGGCGTCAAAACGGTGTTAACCCACAAGGCACCCTGGCTTTCTCAAATCTCAACCCCTTAGCATTACTCGTCCTTTCGTACGTCTTCTGGAAATGATGCAACTAGTATATATATATACTCGCAATATCATGCTGCGGCTGCAATTATCTCATTTTCAGCCTTGCAGACAGTTGCAGGTGAGATTGTAATTTCCTGCTGGCGTCATCAGAGACCCGATCGTTTTACCTTACAAATTAGTCGTACCAAATCGTTTTATATACCCTCGACAAAGAGAGGAGCAAGCAAATACACACAAACTTAATCATCTACTAGTATACGTCTTTGGAACTGCGCTGTAATTGGTTAATGCTGGAGTGCTACCTACAACGGAGAACTGACGATGGCTCCAGATTTAAAAATATGTATATATATCGTTTTACTTGCTGAATCCACGAAGAAGGCTTCAACAAACAAACTACCGGGTCATTAGATTGCACAGCGGGTAATCTATCACCCGGTTCAAATCTTGACCAATTTGGTAGCTTTGCAGGCGGGGCGGCTCGTGGACCGTCCACCGGCCACTAAGCTGGCCAAGCTATTAAACGGGTTATGCGAGAGTCCGCCAGCCGCGAGGCTATCGCCGCGAACGGCCAGTGAGACTGGCGGGCAAACGTTTGAAGCCTAAACCTCCGCAAGCAGGATGGCCACTTACGTATACTCATTTGGCAAACAAAAATAATGAAATGATGGTAACCACGATAACACAAAATCATCAATTAAACAAACATGAGCTTTTGAGACACAACGACGACTTAAATAGGAGAGGTAACGGGGTGTTGCTAGCTCTCGTTATTCGCTGCCAACAATATATAACAAACAAAAATCACGTGTGATTTTGCTTTCCAGAATCCAGCATGGAAATTTGGTCGATTCAGAAGGTCCAACGATTTCAGTCAACAATCAATACAGTCAAGTCGAACTACTGAACCAATGCAGTGTTGACAAACAAGAAATTAGGAAAGTAGTTTGCCGCGCGCGTTTCGAGTCAAAATTCCTCGGATGAACGACGACAACATAACCTGATGAACGTGATGGTGGTCAGTCGCCGAACTCCGCAGGCGTTTAGCCCGTGTAGATTATTAGGTTAGGTGGCAACCAAATTTTCCTTGAATCCCTTCACCAGATCTCGAGCGAGGTCTATCGCCAGATCGATGCATACGCACTAGCAGATGTATGTATGGTTCCGTTCGTCTCCGCAATAACTGCAACACTGAAATACTATTAGCATGAGTTGACTTAAATTATGCAGCTAACGGCTACTGAAATACTGCACGGAGTAGTACCCTGGATCAGCTTGCAGTACGAGTCGTGGTCTCATCACTTGTTATGGCTAAGAGGGCAATTTGACTGGCTGAACGTGTATGTTCAACCTGAAGCCAGACCGTAGATATGATGGACTCGTGGCGGAATTAGGATCAACGGGGTTGTTTTCATCAATCCAGGTCTTGGGCTAAAGCCGATGAAGCCAATGAACAAAAGAAGCAAACGCCTTGGTAGTTGGGTTAGGCCACGCGCTGCTCCAGGTTGCTTCAGTCAAGAACTTAACTACTCAAGGTAATACCTTACTTGTAACTACAGATCGTTTGAATTTTTTCACCATGCTGGACATACAAAAAAGGAGCCTGCCAACAAGAGCAAATATAGACCAAATCTTTTAATTGCTGATGAGAGAGGAAGGCTGCTTGTTCCACCAAACGCGTTATTTTTACCGCGCCGTGTTTAATTTTGTGTGTTGAACAGGTAAGCTATACTCACACGATGACTTGCAAGTAAGCTAGGTATTACCGAGTAGAGTAGACAGGAGTAACACTTAGCTTCTCCACGGCATATGCATATCACTGTCAGTACACGTGACTCGTTCATGTATTCCGAGGGTGAAGTATCGGCGCTGTAATACTTCCACCAATCTCATACGTTAACTTTTTGCATGGAACAATTAATTATTAAGCATGGAAAGACTGACGATTTATTAGGCTGAGAGAATGTCACTGCTAGAGAATAGACTTTAGAACGATGTCTCAATTTAATATTAGTCTCGGCATTTTTTTTTCCTCCGGGACTAAAAGTCTCTGCCCAACCGTCGTCCGCGGGGCAGGGACCTTTAGTCCCGGCTGGTATTACCAACCAAGCTTTTAGTCCCAGTTTGGGTGATGCCCCGAGAATAAATATTAATCTTTAGTCTCGGTTTGGCCCCCTAACCGGGACTAATTATCTCGGCCTATACACCAGCTCATTTCTTCCTCCCCGAGCCCGAGCCATTCCATTCAAACTCACTGCCTCTATTCTTCAGCTTGCTGTTGTTCTTGCTCTCTCCCCCTCCATTGGTGTTGCTCTTCCATTTTGGAGGTAATAAACTTAATCCTCTTATGTTTTATCAGTAGCTTATCTCATTTTGCGATGTAGATGCATATGTAACTTTATATGTTGGACTTTATTATGGTTTTATATGTCATTTTTAGCTCAAAATCACATGATGATTTGCATATATGTTTGGATAAACAAAAGTTAAATTAGTTCATCAAAATCACACCTCGCTCATCCTCGCTGGAGCACGCGCCATCCTCGTCCCCAGCGGCTTACATGATCTTAGAATTAATTTTTCCATGAAATGAAAAACTTAGAAAATAGTTAGAAAATTGTAGAAAATCCATACTAGTTGAACTTGCGGACCGTGTTCAGCTCGACGAGCATGTTCTCTGCCGAGCGGTAACGGACGTCAAGGATGAGCTTTGATTCTACGAGGGAGAGCGGCAACGGTCGTGGAAGACCGTGTTGCCTTCCTCGTAGAATTGGAGCTCTTCCTTGGCCAAGTACGGTGCCGTCCGGTGGAGAAATGCTCGCTGAGATGATCACGTAAGCAAGGTCGACTAGTACGGATGATTATTTATTAAAACATGTTTTTGAGCTATAATTTGATGGATATTTGATAACTTCAGACCTACAAATGTCATCTACAAATGTTACAATCCTCGGCAACCTAAACGCCCGCGAGCTCGCCGATATTGAGCAGGTCATTTAGAATTATTTTTTCCATGAAATAAAATACTTAGAAATCATGCCTTTTATTTTTTAGAATTAAATTTTCTATGAAATAAAAACTTAGAAAATAGTTAGAAAATTATAGAAAATCCGTACTAGTTGAACTTGCGGACCGTGTTCATTTCGGCGAGCATGTTCTCTGCCGAGCGGTAACGGACGTCAAGGAGGAGCTTTGATTCTACGAGGGAGAGCGGCAATGGTCGTGGAAGACCGTGTTGCCTTCCTCGTAGAATCGAGCTCTTCCTTGGCCAAGTACGGTGCCGTCCGGTGGAGAAATGCTCGCCGAGATGATCACGTAAACAAGGTCAACTAGTACGGATGGTTATTTATTGAAACATGTTTTTGAGCTATATGATTTCTATGTCATTTTTAGCTCAAAATCACATGATGATTTACAATAGTAAAATCACTTGATAGTTTGGTATTTTACTATTATACATAGTACATATTTCATGGTTTAGTTAGATAAATAAATAATTTTAGTTTTGTTTAAATATATTATTTTAGAAAATATGAAATTTACACTAGTTTGCAAAAATAAGTATAGAAAGTAGATGGCAACTGGTACCGGATCCTCGGCCTCTCGTTCGGTTGCGAAACGACTAAGGCTAGAACTCCCTCTCATTATCTGCGGCAAGTGTAAGCAGAAGATTGTGATGGAGTACCGAGTCAAGAGACAGGGACCCAACAAGGGTCGTATTTTCTACAAGTGCCCGGATCGCGATGTGAGTTTCTTACGCATTTGATTATTATGGCTAATTGGCCTGCATTTCTTGAATATTTTTGACTAAATATTTTTTGGCTTTAATTTCAGTGGGAGGGCAATGGATGTGATGGTTGGTACTAGGAGGAAGATTATGCTACATACATGCAGAATTCGGTGCGCTTGAGGTAGCGGCTTCTGATGATGAGGCAGTGAGCCAGCAGGAGAAGCTTATTGATATTCAACAGAAGAATAATTTGTCTATTTTAGTTGCGTACGGTCACGAAATAATTATGTTACTGAAGTGCATTGTAGTTTTAGTTTGTTTAGTGATAGTTCGGATTGCTTACGTTGTAGCCAGGCTTAGTTAATTAATCAACCGTGTGTGTGTCATCTATGTTGTATAATAAAATACTTAATTATGTTCAAGGTTTTCATAATTTATCATGTAATGTAGATTATGTCACGCCATTGGATGTACAATGCCGATCGTCGCTCCCAAGACTTTATTGAGGGCGTGCACTATTTCTTAGGTGTGGCCAAGGCAAATAAGCGGGATGGTTACATGTGCTGTCCATGTGCCATATGTAAGAATTTAAAGAAATATTCAAGCTCAATGAGTCTTCATTCACATTT